ATATGCCCCTGGGTGCATTTTTTGGTCCTAGGACTGTTTTTTTAAGAAGTTCATACCCAAAGTTGAGTAAAAATAACTGTAAAAAGTGAATTTTGCATAATAGGTCCCCTTTAAGTTCGAGATGGAGTTTTTGTTTTGTTTTTGCTATTTGTAGATAATTATAGTTTGAATTTAGTTGATGGAGAAAAGTCACAGATATAGGATTTTTTTCTTCTCTCATTTGTATTTTTTATTGTACATAAAATTTTCTTTGTTTCACAAAGATAATTATAGTTTGAATTTATTTGATGGAGAAAAGTCACAGATATAGGATTTTTTTCTTCTCTCATTTGTATTTTTTATTGTACATAAAATTTTCTTTGTTTTATTAAATGAAATGCATAAACAAATATTTAAATTTGTAACAAGGTGTTCAATTGTAAAGTCAAGAAATAAAAGTATCATTTTGATGTTTTGAGTATATTGATTGATTGATGATGCCTTTATTCTCATTGTACGGAACACAAGGAAATTACATTTAAAATAGCTTACATTTATAACAAAATAAAAAAATACTTGGTAAAATTACAAATCCTCAAAAAATTACTTAAGTAGTGTAACAAAGTAAACGTACTAATTTACTATACACCTCTGATCTTTTAGGTATTTTATAATCTTTACATTGTTTCTGTTTCACCCTGATTGTTGGCTCCTACACATTAAAACTTGTRAAGATTTACTTTGTTTATTCATTCATATGTGATGTTTTTAAATGTAAAACATATAATATATAAGAAAAACTTTGATTTCTAAGTGATTTTATGCGGATTTAGACTTCTTTGTCCAATCATCCATCCTTGCTTTTGGACCCCGCCCACCCCCACTCCTTTATTGTTTACCACCTCAGAGTATCAGAGAATACTCATGCCCATGCATTTTGAGGGGGGAGTCGAGGGGCCCGGGCAGATTTGGGGGCAGGGAGATGCAGAAAAAAAGGGGTGTGTGAGAGAGAGAGGCGAGAACCACGTTACCTGACAGATAATGTTATCATAGTAAGCCAATGCACGGGCATGAGGGACGTTAGGAGGGGTGTCGCACAGTTTCCTTACATTTGGGTGGGAGCCCTCAGCGATGGTGGACAGCGAGAAATTATCATTGTGCTGCTCCGACGAAGGCCGGTACTTACTGCTGGGCGTCGGCGGGGGGGAGAGAAGGGAAGGAGGAAGATATCAAACAAGAACAGAAACATGTGTGAAAAGATCACAGAAAGGATGGAGAGAAAAGATTGTCAGAGAGGAAAAACAGGAGAGGGAAGGGGAGCAAGAAGCAGCATTAGCAGGATTTTAACAAATAAAACAAACATAAGCATTAATCTGTGATGCAACAAAGTGTTACCTAACAGACAAGCAGGCTACAACACTTCCTTTCATWTTGATTTATCTGTTAAACACAGTCCACCTGACTGAGACATGAGCTTTTTCTCATCTTCACTCACATTTTATGGCAATAAATCATTTAAAGAACAAAAAACTGGCAGCATATCGCAAAAACAACACATATTAACCCTGAGAAAAGAGTTATTCCAAATTAATTAATCACACACAGAATGTCCTGATGCATCTCAGTAATCCAGGTAAAAAATCAAAAAGAAAAAAAATTGTATAGGTCCTCTGGACGGGTTCTTCTCTAATGAAACGTTTCGTCTCTCCTCCAAGAGACTTCTTCAGTCTGAGAGTTTCAGGCAAAATTCAGGCTTTTAAGCCCTGCCTCCATGTGACTGATACTCACATCACATGGCTATCGTTCACACCTAATTAACACCTATTGTTAACAGGAGGTGGAGTGATACTGGCTATGGCAGCGCTGTAGGAGGTGGACAACTGAAAACGGAGGCCCCCACCTCTGTTTAATGATGGACGGTCTTTCTTCACAAAAATGGCTTCTTTTACTCCTCTCTCAAACCAACGTTCCTCCCTATCAAGAATGAGAACATCCTCATCTCTGAAAGAGTGACCGCTGGCCTGTAAATGAGTGAAAACTGCAGAGTTCTGGCCATTAGATGTAGCTCGTCTGTGTTGGGACATTCTTTTGAACAGTGGCTGCTTTGTTTCCCCGATGTATAACTGGTCGCAGTCCTCCTGGCACTTAACAGCATATACAACACTGCTCTGTTTGTGCTGGGGCACCGGATCTTTGGGGTGAACCAGCCTTTGCCGTAATGTGTTTTGGGGTTTGAAAGMCACTGGGACATCATGTTTAGAAAATAAACGTCTCAGTTTCTCCGAAACACCCGCAACATACGGAATAACCACTGGTTTGGGTCTGGGTTTGGGGTCTTCATTTTCACCTAAAGGTTGCATGGAGTCCTGTCTGTGTTTCCTGTCTGCTTTCAGGAAAGCCCAGTCAGGATAACCACACTGCTCCAGGGCACACACAGAATCTATATAACTATAACTATTATTTAAAGTGATAAAAAAAACCTGATTTTCCCCCAAACGTCTCAGAGAACAAACTCTAACTGCAGAACTCAGCTGTGAGAACTTTCAGTACACAGAACGATGATGTAACTGTTTTTTTTTTCATCAAAAAGCTTTTTACAGTAATTGAGCTAAATTACCTGCTTTCAAAGATCACTTCACTCTTATGAAGGAGAATTAGTCAGAAATGTTACGGGGCTAATCCATTTCTGACAGTTAGGAGCAAAACCTACACCTGATGAAATAAAAACATCAAAATGAAGTTTGTGYAGCTGCTGTATTTATATTTTTATAGGCATTTAAATCTTTTACCAAACATTCACCAACAACTGATTGCAGCYTTGCTCTGGAGGACTCGTCATTGGTTTATAAATATATGCATGTACATTTAAATTAAGCTGTAGGTTCAATCAAATGTTTTATCAGTATCAATAATTTATATGATATTGTATAAATTGTTTTGCATTAGGAATTGCATAGTTGAAATGACACATTCCTTTAATTTTTTGTCTTAGCAAGGAGTTAAAATGCTTTTTAAATATGTATAAAAGTTAAATTTTGCCTCTGAACATCTGGAGTATTCATTCATTCATTCATTTACTCATCACTGTCATTTGATTCAGTCCACAAATGATCAAACAAAAACATAAAGTTTTAAAGCTGATTTGCAGAATCATCACTTAGCTGCTCTTTAGTAAGATTAATATAACATTACTTATTTCACTTGAGTTAAACTCTGTGCAAGTGCTGAGTGCAGCAGGGGCGGAGCCWGAGGGGTGGCCGGGGTGGCAGGAGGTGGCCACCCCAACCAACCCAGAAGCCACCCCCAAATCACTGACAAGTGGGTGGGGATCTTCGATTTTGTATTTGCATTTAGATTTTGTYAAAGATYKTRTTCTGATACAAATAYTTGAGCTCAAATGTCTGAATTATAGCCCTTTATAACAGTAGCATTAGTGTTTAGCTTAATTTAGGATTAGCATCAACAATCGGCATGYGATCACTCGTAGCTACGCCACAAGAAATTTCACCTTAATAAGTCTGAAAATAGCTGAATTATCGGGTTTCAAAGTTAGCTGTGGCCGTCTCTAATTTATGATCAGCATTAAAACTGTGGTAAAGTTTTTGGCTACTTCTGCACTAATCTTCAGCTTTTTATGTTTAAAAATGGCTGCATAATAAGTTGTGACTAACATTCAACACGTTTTAAATGATTCCCAAAGCCCTGTCGCACATTTTAGACAACTTACACCAACTTATAAAATTAATTTTATGTCTAAGCTACTAATAAAAGTTATACATTTGATCAATTTGTCATTACAGTATGAAAAGAGGCTTCCAGTTGATTTTTTTATTCTATCTTCGACATAGATGTCTTTGAACATTTCAAAGACATCAGCAGCTTTCAWAAAACAGAGAAATTAAAGCTCTTTAGAATTAGCTGTGGTGGCCATCTTGAATTTTCAAACTCAGCGGGCTTCTTTTTTTAATGTGCCCCCTTGGCCACCCTTTGCAAAGAAGCCTAGCTCCGCCCCCAGTGTGCAGTTATGTTTTCATCTCAAATCTGATTTGATTTGTTGAACACAATATTTAGCGTTTTAAACCCCCTCAACATGAAAGAGCATCATTCCGTTCCGWGCCTTTGCCTCTCCATCTTTGTCCAGGATGTCGTCTGATCTGCAGAAAGGCAGCAGATGGGAGTGTGGGAGTTTCATGGATTCACGAGTCTTTTCAGCGCCGTGCGCGTTCCTCTAAATGTGTCATGCTGAGTTTTTCTCTGCGTAGCTGCCCTCTCTTATTCATATTTCATTATCTCTTTCCTTCTCATCTGCATCACTTTCTTTATCTCCCCCACCATCCTCTCCTGTTTCATTCTGCCCTCCTTTTTTTTGACTCTTCTAATCTGCAATCTTTCATTTCCCTCTCTTCTTCCTCCCGCTTCTCGCTCTTCATCGATTTCTTTAAGCCGACCACTTGATGAGGCAGTGTTTACTCTTCKACGCTGCCCCCCGCCGCTCGCACCCCTCAGGTTGCACAGCTGTATGTAGGTCAACCCCACCTCCRCCCGTTTCTCACTCCCTCCCCTCCTCCTGCTCAGACTGCCCTACTTTCAGCTGGATCCAGAGTCCTGATGACATCACCCTCTTCTCCACCTTTTTTTTTTTTTTAAATCTTGCAAGCCAGCGTTACAGCTGCTACTCACTGCACCACTCTCCCTCTTCACCATCATCTTTAATCTCCAGCACGGCTGGAAGCGTTGATACTCCTGCCTGTGGAGCTAAAAATAAATCCTGCAGCTTGGGAGCCGGCGAAGGGGGCCTCAGTCCTCGGGCTCACATTTGCATCCGTGGAGCCCGGATCGCCGGGCCGCTGCTCGTCCACAGCAGCTTTGTTGCTCGGGAGATCGACACAAAAAAACACGAGCAGCAGCAAAGCAAAGGCAACACGACCACCACCCACTCCTGTTTTAAATTCACACGGGCCCTTCAATCTGCCACTTCTGCTCCGTCCACGTCTTTCCAACAGGGATTTATTTTTAATTAACTAATGCATTTTACATAAAAATCTGCCTTTTTGTGACGTTCTGCAGAAGGTTTGTGGTTACAGCACAGTCAGGCACCTATTAATCTGTATACTTACTAGTGAAATTTATTCAAATACTTGAATTGTTAAAGCTGTTTGCACATTTTTGTATATTTTATTGGATTTATATATTTTTATTATATTGTTTTACATTGCTGTTGTGGGAGTATCAACACAATTTCATTGTAATGCTGTTATGGTATACAATGACAATAAACATTCATTCATTAWTGCAACTCAGCTGTTAGCTCAACTAGCAGCAGTGACTCTTCTTTGAGTGAACAKTTTTCTTTTTTAATCTTAATTTGGGACATGTTAGCTGAAAAATATCTAATTTAGGAAAATTAAATTGTTGGTTACTTCTGATAAGAAGAACTTGAATCTTTAACTTGTCTTTTTCTGACATCTATTTAAAAAGTGCATATTGTCATATTTATTCCCTAAATTTACACCCCAACAGATAAAGATCCCGACTCACTGAGCTGCAGCTGCAGGCAGTTATTTTGCTGAGCTACATTCTTTAGAGTCTCTGAAACATTTGCAACTTTAATTCCTAAATGTAGTCTATTTGGTTCATTGATTAGCAGTGAAGAAAAACATTAGTTTACAAGTGATTTTCATATTTGAACAGAACCAAGTCTTAGTGCTAAAATAAGTTAGTGGTCAGTTTATTCATTGGATTCTCCTTTAAAGGCACAGTGTGTAGGATTTTGTCAATTCTTTTAGCCGAAATTGAGATAATCACTAATTACAATAATAAAAAACATGTCTAATCATTGCAGACAATGATAAGAAGCTGTTTATATCTCCATGGTCACGGGTCGCCACACAGGCAGCCGCCATCTTGCACCGCCATCTTGTCTACGAAGGCTCATGAAGGACAAACTGCGGTGGCRGTGTCAAAAACTGTTTTAGTTGTAATACTATAAATGTAATATTTGTTGTCTGTCATTAGCTACGTTTACATGGACCAAAGTAATCGGATTAAACAGCCGTTCGGAATAAAAATGCGTCATGTAAACAGCCCGTTCCGATTTTTCTGATCCGATTGAGCTCGATCCGAATGAATTTTTAATCCGAATGAAAAGGGTGGGTTATGCCAATTGATAATCGGAATATGAGGTTCATGTAAACACTTAATCGGATCATCTTATTCTGATTGTAAAAACTAACCTGTGCGCATGTCTGCTGACTTTATTCACCCGATGGGACAGCAGCGCTCCAGCTGCGCTGCACCGTGCAGAACTTTTCCTCCTCGCTCTCTTAACAGACGAAAAAGGAGGCAAACAGCAGACGTTGCTTCGCAAAAAATAAAAATAAAAAACACGTATTGCTTCATCTGCAGGCTGCAGCTCAACCGAGGAGTAACGAATTAAAAGCTGACACGGGTCGTCCTGAGGCACAGAGGAGCTTTGTTTATGTTTGTAACACGGAAGTAGAGC